CTCAGGCAATCCACTCACCTCAGCCTCCCAAAGGCGTGGGATTACAGGCTGAGCCACCGAGCCCAGCTTAGATCTTATATTAAATCTTAATTCTGTCTTAACTTTGCTGTGCAACTCACGCCAGGCTTCTCCCTCTCTGGTCCTCAGAACAACCCTCTGGCAGCCAAACCAAAGTGACCTCCCTTGCCAGCCCACTACATGGTGACACACCACTCCCTTAACAACCTCCTGGAGATTACTGTGGGAGGATTGTCCTGGCTCAGAGGAAGCATCCCAAGCCCCTCACTGGTTTGGGAATTTCACACCATGGGAGTAATGGGCATCAGAAGCAAGGCAATTGTTAAGAAGAATTAACAGGCTAGTGCTGGACCCAGCCCTCCAGCCCTGGCCGCACAGAGGCTGCTTTTCATGCCTTTTTTCCTCTGCTAATTTGGCTTGTTTTCCAAACAAGGGTCAAACAATCCCTCTCCAGAAGTGGCAGCAGCAGAAGGAAATGTTATTAAAAATGAGTCTGTTAGTGGGCATGGTGTGTGGATGAAGTCTTTGGGAGTCTTGGCTGCCAAATAAAGACTTTATTGTTGTCATTCCTCCTTTCCCAAGCTCCCTCCCTCTCTCCTCTTCTCCCTCCCTCCTTCTCTTCCCTCCTCTCTTCTCCTCCCTCCCTAGGATCTGCCCCTCCCTCCCTCTACCCTAACCTCCCCACCCTAATAGGATCTGGTGGAAGAAAAGTCAGGCAAACGCAAGCACGCACACACCACTGGGAGACCAGAACTTCTAGCTGGCTCTCTGCTCCACAGCTCCGCCGAAGGGAGGGGGTGGACCAGGAGGACTAAGCCCAGAGCTGAGAGGAGAGGCAGGTGTGTGCAGGTAAGCCCAGTCGGGATGGGCAGCAGCCTTGGAAGAATCCTTCCTCCAGCAAATGTCCTCCTGTTCTGTCCAACCTAGGTTGTCCATCTAGTCTCTATCTTCTCTCTCCTTCCTTCTTCCCATCTTCTCTCCTCTCAGACAAGCTTGAATTCAACCTTCCTCACATCTTTCCTGGAGCCTCTTCCTTCACACTCTATCCCCCTATCTCCTTGCTGCAAAAGTTAAACTTTCTTGGTGCAGATGTTTGCGGTAGTGCGGCGAGCCATGCTGCACACAGTGCTTCTACAGATCAGGTTTCCATAGAAACTGGACTCTAGAACCCATTTCTTTGCACCTTTGGTGTATTGTCACACATTGTCGAAGTCTCTCTTTCACACACACACATACGCACACACACATCACACAGAGGCTGCACTTTCACCACCACCACCCACACACAAAATGAAGATATCCTGTCCATCCACCTCCACTCTCTGCCTCTGACATGCAGAGCTAGATCACATAGTTGCTAGACCCCTGCACACGTACACACACACACTCTGCATCTTGTCTCTCACCCTCTCACACACCTCCCCAGTCCTAAGAGCAAAGAGAAAGTGCGTCTTCCCACTGAGACAGCACAGCCAGAAGAAAACTCCTGTGTCCTAAGCCTAGCTAGGCCCAGCAGGGAAGAGAGGGCTGGAGGATTTCTTTGTTATTTCGAGCTTAATTGGGAAGGAGGAAGAAAAAAGAGGCTTTCCAACCTGCATGGTATCTTCTCAGCAGCTCTGAATTTGTCTCACTGATCCAAACCACTTGGCTTTTGGAAAGAAAGCGACCCAGTTTCCAACCCTTGAAGGTTCTAATTCCCAGCCTGGGGAGAAGGTTTTTTTTTTCTCCTGCAGTCAGCCAGAAAAATATTTTTCTTTAAAGCCATTCTGAAATTATTCCAACCATTCAGGTTGGAAAGGGGTCCTTGTGGCGAAAGGGGAAAAAAAAGACAGCAGTTCCTTAAGCAGTCAGGGAGGGGAAAGCTAAAGGGTGGCCCTCTCCAGTCTCTCCTCCCCACCAGCTCATGCCTCTCCAGCAACCGAGAGGGTCTGTCCCGAGGGGTGAGCTAGATCAGGCGGTCCCAGATGCAGCTGATCTTCATAATCACCTGAGGGCAGGGGAGGGAGGCTTACTACAAATACAGATGTCTTGACCCTCTCCACAGACCTACCGAATCAAGATCCAGGATCTGCTGTTGTTTTAATACTTCAGGAGGGCTGGGTGCAAATGGCTCATGCCTGTTATCTCTGCACTTTGGGAGGCCAAGGTGGGAGGATCACATGAGCCCAGGAGTTAGAGACCAGCCTGGGCAACATAGTGAGACTTTGTCTCTATAAAAATAAAAATAAAATATTAGCCAGGCCTGGTGGCATGCACCTGTAGCCTCAGCTACCCAGGAGGCTAACATAGGAGGACTGTGTACACCCAGGAATTAAAGGTTGTGGTGAGCTGTGATCTTGCCACTGCATTCCAGCCTTGGTGATAGAATGAGACCCTGACTCAAAAAAAAAAAAAAAAGGTCCACCAGGGCTTGAGAAACTGATCAGGGCCTGAGAGAGACCTTTGCTGTAACTTACAAGCCCAGGATTCCTGGCAGTGTTAGCTTGGCAGAAGGACGATGTGGTTTCCTGGAAAAGGAGCTCCAGGGTATTCCAAATAGGTCAACCCTTTTGTGGGGAGTGGGAATGAGCATCTGAGGGAACAGGGAAGATCTGTGAGCTGTCTCCCTCTCCCTCCTTGCAAACACAGGAGCTCTCTCCAACAAGCTTATGTTTCCTCTCACCTGCTAATCTGCTTGCCCCCGGGCCCCCACCCAGCATGGCACTCGCCCCTCCCCTGACCCCTGCCAATTCCCTTCCCTGCTTAGCTCTCCCATGGGATCTCAGGGGGATGGGCTGAGCAAGGAGTCCTTCACTCCTGTTCAACTCCCTAGAGGGCAGTCCCATCTATTGGGCATATGTGTAAGTGAAGCATTCCAAGACTGGAAGGGGGAAAAAAAAAACAGATGCAAAATGTTGTGGGGAGAAGTCACAGTTCACAGTGGAATCCCACAACCAGTGGAGGAAGGGCAAACTCCCACCTTCTCTGGTCAGCGTCCCCTCACCTGTTGCAGAAGGTGTGGGGAGGGGTCGGGGAATTGGAGGGACAGAGTGGGCTCTCCTAGGTGGCTGGGGGTTTCCAGGTCTGTCTAATTCATTGATTCTGAGAACCAAGTCACAAAGGGGAGGAAGTTCCTCTGTGTGGAAGAGCCAGGCCCCACCGGTAAGGATCTCTGCCTTCATTTGGGTGGTGCACAGGGCTGCCCTTTAGTCAGTCGGAAGGGAAAGAGACCCCATTACTTTGAAATAACGTCAGCAATTCCTTAACATTCATTGAGCACTCACTTCACACATATTAACGCGTGTAACCCTCAAAACAATCCAATAAGAAGGTGTTAGCCTGCCCATTTTATAGATGAGAAAACTAAGGCCTTGCCCAAGGGTACCCAGCTAAGCAGCTGAAGAGTTGCAGGGTTAGGACCCAACTCTGTAATATCCACCCAAAGCATCAGACCGATTCTTCTAGTCCTTCTTCGGGGCAGGAGACGCTGGGGACAGCGGCAGAGAAGGACACAGTGAGCAGCAGGCTCAGAGGAGAAGAGCCTCTCACCCTTGCTTCCCACCCCTCACAGTGGAAAACTTGCTCTTCTGGACGAGTGGCCTGAGGCCAGAAAATCTTCATTCTGTTTACACTTTGCCTCATGGTAGACACTGGGGAGCCAGATGGTCTCTCCATAATAGTGCTATATTTATTTTTAGCGCTTTTTGATCTGCATTTTAAAGTCTCCTATCACAAATCTTCTGACAACAACTGGATGAGGAACATAGGGATAGGGAAGACTTTCTTATTCCCATTTTACAGACAAGGAAATTGAGGCTCAGAATAGGGCCACATCACTAGGTGATGATGGAGAAGCTGAGAATCCATGCACTCTAACTAGTAAGCACCACAACGTCCTCCTCCCACTGGCCCAGGCATGCTCACCCGCATGCTGCTCACCCTCCGGAACAGGGGTGGCGGCATCGACGGTATGTTGAATTCATCATGCCCTATACCAGCCCCTGTGTTACCCCAGGAGCACACCAGCCCCCAGAGGCCTCAAAAGGGTCTTAGGCAGCCTGTATGGGCCTAGCTCACTCCTCTACTAACAAGTAGGCAGAGTCTACTTGCTTCCCTCTGCTTCTAGCTTCTTCTGTACTACAGGAAGCACTAAAGGGAACAGGTGGCTTTCAGAAAGTCTAGGTTTAGAACAGAAAGTGAAAGAGGAGAGTCATCCTACTGTCCATGGGCACGGCTCTGGGGCAGGGGCAGCCCCAGTCACTACGGCTGGGTAGCTGTCTGGGTGAAGCCATGGGGGTTTGGGGTGACCAGTTAGACAGGAAACCTGGCAAGACAGAAGAATGCCAGTACACAGTGTGGAGTAAGCCTGGTGCTAACCATGCCCAGTCCTGGGAGACAAACCCAGCCTTTCCATACAAAGCCAATTATCTTGAAAGAATGCCTGCTCCTAATGCCTGAGCAAACCCATCTAGACCTCAGCCCAGCCCTGCCCTGAGCATAAACATTCCACCAGTCCTGGTATCTGACGTTAAATTAACAGTGTTAGGGTACGGACGGACCGGGTGAGGGTCGAGAGACACAGGGAGGCGCACAGCACCGTCGGGGCTGGCAAGCCGGAGGTGCACACCGGCAACCCAGAGATCTGAGTAAATTGCAAAGAACTGCGACACACAAAAAGATTAAGAAAGAGAAGTTTATTTAGAAATCAATTAGAGAGAGAAAGAGAAGGAAAAGAGAAGATTCACTTCCCTGAGGTAGGGGCGGGGGACCAAAGCCAGAAAGCATGGCGACAGCCATGGCTCAAAGAGCACATGGTCATGCCAGACTCTAGCAAAGCAATGGCGCCTGGTTGCTTGTGCTTGAGTCCTTTTAACCATCCCCCTTGATGGGGGAAGATCATTAGGGTGATTGGGTGGCGGTCTGCTTCCATGTCATCACAAAGGGGCAGGCAAGTGCAGGTACTGATGTCAGATAATGGACAGTAGGCAGATGGATGGGTTAGTCACATGATTGCTGCCATGGTGGGGCTTATCTGCACAGAGGGTTGATAGGTTAAGAGGGGGGTGATTCCTGCAGGAGACTTGTTAGACATTTGCAACTCACAAACTCTTATGACTTTGGCCAGCCATCTTTGATCTTCAGCTTTGACAAAGAACCGAAAAGTTTACTAGAGATTATTATGCTAAACCATGAATGGTTGGGCTGTCCTGCTCTTGTATCTGACGGAGATTGTGCATGTGACTGCCGTGACTTCCTTATCGACCACCTGTGAATGTCTTGGAGAACCTGTGACACAGAGACCCATTAATGTTCACCCACATTATCATAGCCCCTAGAGAAGGACGTGACAAGAATTCTAATTCTCCCGTACCTTCCCAAACGACATTCCTTAGAGCTAGTGGAGGGTGCACCTCCTGTTATCTCCTAGGCATTCCCAGTGGGTAGCTCCGGGGGATCCTTGGCTTCCCTATAGAAAGTAACCAATTTACTGGAAGATGGAATCCCCACCTGCTCTCCCTCTGAGTGGTCACAACTTTTGTAATTACAAGTTTCATGACTTTTACAATCCTTGCCCAATGTATGATATCTCAGGCCTTGTAAATTCCCTTTACTATAGGCAAGCTTGATTGACACTATGAGATACCTGGCACCAGGAAGTCTGTTCCTAAAAAGACAAAGTTGGTAAAGTTAATTATACCTAAAGTGTGCATTTCTCCAAAAGCATAGCTTCTATTTTCTCATCATTGTGTCAGGGTTTAAGAACAAGATGAAAAATGGCTTCCCACTCTTGGTCTGTCCTTTCAAACAGGACAGATAGAGAAGAGGGTTATCTCACTTTAAAAATCAAAACGTCTCTCTAGATAATCTGCTCTTTTATAAACAAATAAATGAATATGTAAAGCCTCTGCCTGCTTGTAGAGATTTTGCACCCTATAACATGCCTTCAAATGCATGATCTCACTCAGTCCTGACACAGATGCGGAGTCTAAGGTGAAGAGTCAGAGCCAGGAGTCAAGACCAGACCTCCAATGACTGGGACTGAAATTGGAGTTTAAAACTCTCTTAGGAAATGTTCTTCAATGTAGAGAGTGAGTTTGGGGTTGGGCAAAGCTACTGCTTTTTCCTTCTGTGAAGCAGCAGCTTTTTGAGAACCAGTGCTGGAGAACAGGCTGCATACACTTGCTTGTTGGAGGTGGTCATTGGTTCACTGGTGGTCACTGTTCATTGGTTGAGCAGTGAGCTGAGCCTAGTAGAAAGCTGGGGGTGGAGAGGTATGCTTATAAAAGCATAAGACTTTTTTTTAAAAAACACACACAGAGGACCCTATGGGAACTTATGATTGGACAGAAGATTTTGGAAGGTGGGAGCATAGAGTGTTACGTCAGGGCTTTGGGGCAGGGACTATGACTCTCCTTGAAGTTCAGGCATCTTCGCGTGAATTCTGATTTCAGAGGCCTAGGCAGCACAGAGCGTTAGCAGAGAGAATGGCTGTGCTGTCAGAAAGTCCCACCTACCTACACAGCAAAGCTCTGGCAGGAAGGGTGTACCCCAAGAGAAAAACTTTAGAAATGAACACTGTCTCGTTAAGAGAGAAGCAGAGAATAGTTCTGAGTCAGTTCTGGGCTGAGAGAAGGGGAATTGGGCAGATTCAGTTTCCGAGAACACGCCCCAAGGAACATTTCCTGGGAACCCTCCTATTGGCTCTGGGAGGAGCTTGGCTGACCCTAGGGTTTTGGAATGTAAAAGGGTCAGACGAACTAGTGGGAAGTTCCCAAAGGGAACAGGAGATGGGGACGAGGAAGGCCTGTGTTTACTGTGGGGTGAGGGGGGGGTGGTCAGCCTGCCCACTCCAGTCACCCCTGACAGTGAAGACCAGGGCTGCCCACCCCAGCAGAGCCCAGATCTCTGCACCTCACAGAGCAGGAAGCTCTGGGCAAGCCTTCCTTGCTTACGTTGGTGCCCAGTATATGCATTTGTGACCCTGGCTAGGGCTGGAGCTTCTTTGAGACAGGGCTTTAGTATGAAAGATTTCTTGCTTATTTTCTGTCTTCTAGGTGACGAAAAAATAAAGAAATTCTTTTTACAAAATCAGGGTCACAAAAATTTGGGCTTTTAAAAATGTTTGTTTTAGAATACTAATGCATTAACCACCCCTTAATTTATGGGCAATATGACTGCTATAAAATTACAGGACTTATACAATGTTAATTCATAGTTCAACATTTACAAGTGATGTGGGGTCCAGCCAAGAAGACTCAAGTTCAAAGTTTGACAATGAATGTCTTCTCTTCTTAATCCTTTCAGTGTGTCCCAAGACTGTTAAATCCTCAACTGGAGGTAAAGGCAAGCTCTAACTGCGAGGTCCCTTGTGATAGGAGGCCAGGGGGAAATGGCCTTCCAGACTCCCTCAGAGAGGCTCTCCTGGGAAGAGACCACCTTAGAGGGAGTTGGAGAAAATGCTGAGGCTAGTCTGTGCCCTCTCTGCCGCCCACCCTCCTTCCTCCCTTCCCTCCCATATCCAGTAGAGTATAAGGGCTCACACACACACACAGCTGATACATAGATATGAATTTGCTGATGAGTATGGGACCTAAAAAGGACCCTACGTGTGCCAGACTATGCAGAGTAGGGATCAAGGGTGTGTGTGTGTGTGTGTGTGTGTGTGTGTGTGTGTGTGTGTGTGTAAGCTGTGGTAAGACACCCTCCACCAGGGTGTGTGTGTGTGTGTGTGTGTGTGTGTGTGTGTGTGTAAGCTGCGGTAAGACACCCTCCACCAGAATGTGTGTGTGTGTGTGTGTGTATGTGTGTGTGTAAGCTGCGGTAAGACACCCTCCACCCACCCAGGGCTAAACTCTGCTTCCTTTCTGTTTCCTGTCACATCCAACTTCTCCTGAGCATCTGGTCCAGAACTCAGCAGCTGATGAGGGGCTTCAATTGTCTTCCTTTGATCAAAGCCAGCAAGAAGCCAGGTCAAGCAAGGGATGAGTTTACACTGACGTGGACTCAAAGGGAAAGCAGGATCAGAGGCGGGGATCACAGGATCCATTCACAAGCTGGGGACACCTCCAGCCCACTCCATCTCAGAGAGCCCCAGGAAGCCTGCCCTCCCGATGTGTCCAGGCAGGAAGGGGGTGGGAGGTGGCACCACAATTGTGAGGAAGAGGCAAGGAGGACCAGCTGAAGCCATGTGGGAACAGGGACCCTGGCTAGAGACCAGAAGGGGTGTCATAGGGATGATGCTGTGGAGAGAGGAAGGTACAGGGCACCCTCTCCCTGGACCCTTCCCAGCCTAGGCCAGGGGAAGAAGCCTGTGGGAGCTGCCACTTTCTGTCTGCAGCCCTGAGTCAATTCAGTTTCAATTCAACTCAAACCGCACGGCCCTATCTGAAGGGTCATCAGGGCCAACAGCAAAGGCAACCCTGAAAGATCCTCCAGCATCCATTCCAATGTCACCGATGCTAGCAGGAAGTTCTTCTTGATGTCCCACTTCAGTACCACCAACTCCAAAGGATATGGGACCAGCAATACCAGGTCAAAAGAAAGGAAAGTGTTTTCTCCACAGCTTTCCATCCCTGCCCTGTTTATCTTCCCAAGAGCCTCCACATCTGGAGAGAAATTCTTGGCCTATCTCCTGATGGCAAAGACCAGCGTTCTCTAAGCCGAGTGCAGGGAGAGATGAGAAGGAAGGCCCAGAGCAACTGTGAGCAGGGGTGGATGCAAGAGTGTCCGCAGCACTTCCCTTCCTTCCCAGCTCTCCACAGCGCTACTCTGGAAGGCAGAAAACTTTGGTTTCTGTCCTGGGTCTGTGTTAAATTGCGTCTCAGCCTCAGCACACTGCTTCTTCCCCTCAGTCTGCAACTAGGGAACTAGACTCGATTGGTGGATTTCAAACCGTTTTTAGTGATGAAATGTTTCTTTCAAATGAATGCTTTGGTTAAACCTCAATAGATGAACAGATTTTGTAAAACAGAGCTGCTCAGGTTGGCACAGGAGTGGATTGAGGGTACCCCAGGGCTATCTCCTCAGTCTCCGCCTTGGGGGCGGTGAACCTCCGCAGCAATGAAGGCACAGTTTGAAAACCACCATGTCATGGGCTCTCTCAGGACCCTTCCAGATTTGACACCCCGGGACCTGATGGTTCATATATCCTAACAGCACTCTTAGAAAGATGGGGATATTTTCTCATGCCGCAAATGGGAAGACTGAAGGTCAGACGGGTGAAGGGTCTTCTCCAATAAGCCCTAGGCTTCCTGATTCACAGCCCACAGCCCTGCCTTCTACCAGGAGGGCACACCCTCTCTAAAGCAGGCTTAACACAGTGCGTGGCTACGCCACTGGGCAGGGGATCCAGAGCCCCACGCCCTTGTTACTCCCTCAACTCCTGGGGACAGGCAAACAAGGAGATGCTTCTAAGCTGTCCATCTCCTCTGCAGCTAGCCTTGGCCAACTGTAGCGGCAAAGACATGGCATACAGTCCACCAAGGGCCAGAAGGCTAATGACCTCCGGTGTCTCCTTCCCACAGGTGCATCACCTGGATCATGAGGTCTTCCCTCTGCTGGCTCCTCCCACTTCTCATCTTGGCCTCCGTGGCCCAAGGCCAGCCAACAAGACGACCAAGACCCGGGGCTGGACCCGGACGCAGGCCCAGGCCCAGGCCCAGGCCCACACCTGGCTTTCCTCGGCCCCATGAACCAGCAGAGCCTACTGACCTGCCTCCGCCCCTCCCCCCAGGCCCTCCGTCTATCTTCCCTGACTGTCCCCGCGAATGCTACTGCCCCCCTGATTTCCCATCTGCCCTCTACTGTGACAGCCGCAACCTTCGCAAGGTCCCTGTCATCCCGCCCCGCATCCATTACCTCTATCTCCAGAACAACTTCATTTCTGAGCTCCCGGTGGAGTCCTTCCAGAATGCCACGGGCCTGAGGTGGATTAACCTGGACAACAACCGCATTCGCAAGATAGACCAGAGGGTACTGGAGAAGTTACCCAGCCTAGTGTTCCTCTACATGGAGAAGAACCAACTCGAGGAGGTCCCCTCAGCCCTGCCCCGGAACCTGGAGCAGCTGAGGCTGAGCCAGAACCAGATCTCCAGAATCCCACCCGGCGTCTTCAGCAAGCTAGAAAACCTGCTGCTCTTAGACTTGCAACACAACAGGCTGAGCGACGGCGTCTTCAAGCCCGACACCTTCCAGGGCCTCAAGAACCTCATGCAGCTCAACCTGGCCCACAACATCCTGAGAAAGATGCCACCCAGGGTCCCCGTGGCCATTCACCAGCTCTACCTGGACAGCAACAGGATCGAGAACATTCCTAACGGGTACTTCAAGGGTTTCCCCAACCTTGCCTTCATCAGGCTGAACTACAACAAGCTGTCAGACCGGGGCCTCCCCAAGAACTCCTTCAACATCTCCAACCTGCTGGTGCTCCACCTGTCCCACAACAAGATCAGCAATGTGCCTGCCATCAACAACAGGCTGGAGCACCTGTACCTCAACAACAACAGCATCGAGAGTGAGTGGGGGCACGGTCACAGGGAGGGAGGTTGGTGTTTCCTGCCTCTACCCTTTCTCGGGAGCCTGGGGAGGGCTGGTGCAAAAAACACTCGCTCTGGCATTGGACTTCAAGTCTTGGCCTTACCATCCACTCTGTGTGACCTTGAAAAGATCTTTGAGGCTGGGTGCCGTGGCTCAGCCTGTAATCCCAATACTTTGGGAGGCCGAGACAAGAGGATTGCCTGAGCCAGGGGGTTCACGACCAACCTGGGCAACTTGGTGAGACCTTGTCTCTACAATAAATCAAAAAATAAGCCAGGCATGGTAGTGCATGCCTGTAGTTCCAGCTATTTGGAAGGCTGAGGCAGAGGAATCACCCAAGCCCAGCCGGTCGAGGCTACGGTGGCCGTGAACATGCCACTGCCCGCCAACCTGGGCAACAGAGTGAGACTCCAACTCAAAAAAGCAAAGAAAAGAAAATATATTTTACCTCTCTGGAAAGTTTCCTGATCTGTAAAATGAGAATGGTAATAGTACCTTCTATCACAAGTTGCTATGAGGATGTAACAGTTTAACATGGATACAGTGCCCAGAATACCATGCTTGGAAACTAATAGGCTTTCTTCGTCCATCCCTTCTCATTGGTCCAAGATTCTTTGGCCTCTGGATCTACAGGTAGGGTAGACAGGGAATAGACTCCCAGGCATTCTCCTAAAAGCACAACAGGAATGTTTAGATGCCCCCTGGAAATGTCCTGGGCCCACCTGCTGCAGAAGCCTGCCCCTGTGAGAGGATGCTTCTTCCCACGTCTGAGCATAGGTTTTGAAGAGTCTCTCAAAGCTATAGCCAGAAAGACAGCTACATACTCAGGATATGTAACTGATGGAAATGTGGCAGGCAGAAAAGAAAAAAAATGTCTGTATGCTTTCTGAATCTATCTGGAAGGCTGCAATGTTTAGTTGCATTTAAGGGAGAGGTTGCCTAAGCTACATTTACAGGGTCCTGGGCATGGAGTGTGAATTGCAGCTCAGGAGTGGAGGCTGGGAGTGGCAGTTTTGCTTTAATCAAAAATGTCAGCTCTTTGGTAGGACATGGTGGCTCACACCTATAACCCCAGCATTTTGAGAGGCCAAGGTGGGAGGACGGCTTGAGCACAGGAGTTCAAGACCAGCCTAGACAACACAGTAAGACCTTGTCTCTACAAAAAAAATCAAAACAGTAGCCAGGCATGGTTGTGCATGCCTGTAATCTCAGCTACTCAGGAGGTTGAGGTGGGAGAATTGCCTGAGCGTAAGAGTTTGAGGCCACAGTGAGCTGTAATTGTGCCACTTCACTCCAGCCTGGGTGACAGAGTGAGACCCTGACTAAAAGAAAATGTCAGTTCTGGCTAGGTGCAATGTCTCATGCCTATAATCCCAGCACTTTGGGGGCTGATGCAGGAGAATCGCTTGAGGCCAGGAGTTTAAGACTGACTTACACAACAAGTAAGAACCTGCCTCTACTTAAAAAAAAAAAAAAAGTCAGCTCTGAGCAGAGCATCAGTAGAAAGGTTTGGAAACAATATTATCTAGTCCTTGAACAAAATCAGGCTACATTCACACAAGGAATATGGTAGCTAAAGGGACAAAGGGGATCAAGGAGAAAGAGAAGGATCCCTAAAACAATATTTGTGGATCCTTAGTTTCTAAGCCAAGGAACGAGGAGGAGATAGGTGAAGTATTGAAACAAACGGCCGGGCTCGCTGGCTCAGCCTGTAATCCCACGCCTTTGGGAGGCTGAAGGGAGTGAATTGCCTGAGCCCTCAGGTTCGAGACCCACCTGGGCAACCTGGTGAGACCTCATCTCTACAATAAATCAAAAAT